ACCCAGATCTGTTTCCTGAAAATCCTTCACGAAAGGAACGTTAAGATATGAGGTCACCTGAGGATGCGAATACACACTTCTGCTGAGTCCTGGCACACATTCACTTTTGTCTATTAACACATGACGTGGGAGGAGCAAATCTTTTACTTCCATACCCAGGGTTATGGAATTGACCACTGTAAACTCTCAGCAAAGATAAGAAAGCTGAAAAAAAAAAATCCATTAAAGCGGGAAGCAAATAAGACTCCAACACAAGTGTAACAAATGACATAAAATATGTCTCAGTGTTAGACAACCCTTTTTCTTGCATCAGAGAACTCTGCAAAGACATAGATGTTTGTTTGGCAATTTCATTATTTAAAAATCTGTTCAATGACCCCTTTTTGCTTCTCAGAAGAGTCACAGAACTTTACACTGGAAAGCACTGACTACTTTTAGAGGTGAGCGATTCTGACCCCCTTCCTGGCTCAGCCAGCGTTTATTACTCTGCTCCTACTCTGGGACCCTCGACACGGGCAGAAACCCTTAACACAAACCTGGCCACAGCTCTGCTGTTACTGCTTCTCACACTCCTGAAGTGCCTGGCTGCTGCACCTCATGCAAGGTAGCTTGGGATGCAGGGGGTGAGACAACAGAAGTGTTCTCTGTGTCAGATTCCTGGAAAGAGACGGTTTGACTGGCTCTGACACATCAAGTGCCATCAGTTGGTCACCTTGACTACCCAGGCTGTGCAGACTGCTGAGGATTCAGGATTTGATGACAGTCTGGTGACCACTATTCTCCAGCTGCAGCATGGTAGGTAGTTAGACTAAAGCAACTAACCACTTAGATTCAAAGCTTTTAAAACAGGTTTTTAATTTTCAGTCAGATGTGCCCCAGAGCTCATCTCTAACCTCTCATCTATTACCAGTCATCGCAGTATAAACCCACTTGGGTCTCCGAAGTGCAGTTTTCCACCAGCAGCTTTACGCAAGCAGTGTGGAAGAAGGTGACCAAACCCCTGAGCAGATGAAGCCCATTAGCACAGGAAGCCTCAGTTTTAATAGATCAAATACAACTCGTAAAAGTTGTAGCAAAAGAATCTCACTCGGATGCCCCTCAAGCATCTGATGTTACCTGGGCAGTGGTCCAGCTCCTGCACATTTCAGGTCCTCTGCCACGTGGAAACCAGCTAGGGATCGATAGTGCACTGCTGAAGGGAGTGTTCACTTCAACAGATGTTTACTTGTTGACTCGCAGCTTCACTGTAATAAGCTGTTAAGATGTTTTACATATCTGACTCTCCTGTGTCTCTGCCACTCTGCAACCCATAAGCTTCTCTCTCTTTCCTAGCCCCTCCCTTCCAGATAACGGATGCATGGTTTTCCCTCTAGTGCCACTTGGGTTGTTTTTAGATAACTTAAGTGTACAAAACAGAACTGCTCCCAAAAGGAGACAGCAGATGTACTTTGTCAGCTTTGCCATTTCTTCCATTCTGCTGACTCATTCAGCAACGCGGACGCAGCATCGGGACCACTCCAAAACTCAGCTATTACCGGATGGACAGACAGGAAGGCAGAACCCCTGCCTCGTCCAAAACGGGATACCTTTTCTACTCTTCTTCCAAGCCTTTCCTGCTACGGATGCACCAGCCTGAGAAGGGATCAACACATCCATCGAATTACAATCACGCCAGTGAACTCTTGGCCCAGAGTACCCCTCTACATCCAGACAGTGTCTCAAATCTGCTTGGTTGCCTCTAGACTTTACTTTCTTCTCTTTCTGACACTACAAGCCAGAAAACATAAGGTCAGAGGAGGGGAGCACAAGTGCAAGGCTAATTCATAGCTGGAAACGTAGCTCCTTGATGGAACCGTCATCATTTGGAATTCCTTCAGGAAACAAAAAACTGCCCTCAGCTATCCTTTGTACAGTGTTTAGGCTGGGGAGGTAAAAGACTAAACTATAACACCATGAAGCGTGTTTAATAAAAATACTCTCCAAGGCTTTGACACATCCAGAGTCACCTGCAAGCTGTGCAGACTGCAGCTGAATACTGTAGACAATCTGCATATTTGTTCTAGGCACCCATTGCTAGTAATGCTCTCCCCAGACCTACATAAAAATGTTAACAGCAATTCATCTCACAGACATCTAGTGCTCCTCTTCACTCGTGTTCGTGGCCAGCTTCCCCTTTTCACCCTTCCGGCATTCCGCACGAGTGTACTCCCACCAGGCTTCACCTCTCTCCACAGCGCACAGTTCTGGGAGAAGCTTTCCCATGCCCTCTGCTGGTTTGCCAAGTCACCCATTTGCAGCTCAGAGTTAAAACTCCTCCTTTAAAATACCAGCAGGTTTCCACACCTCTCCTCTATTTCCTTCTGGCTAAATGGTAGTGAGCAGCATTGGGCAGAATCACAGGTGCACGCTACACAAACGGCCTTCTGCAGCTTCCCCCTGACTTGCCAAAGGACACCAACTTTCATTTTGCTTACTTGCCTTTTTTTCCAAACTAGACTGTTTAGGAAATTCAGGCAATCCCCATCGCGTCACAAGCAGCAGGTTTCTCTGAGCAAGTCTGCACAGAGGACAGGAGTTTCCTTTGGTTGCCCTTTCACGCCGAGGAGAGCAATAAATTCCACGCACCTTCAGCCTGAACCTTATGGACCCGAAGTCATTTGTCACTGGATCAATTATCTCCTCGTATTTCAGCCCTCACTGCCAAGACTCTTAACACCTACCTCTAAGACTTTAGCAACTGTACTAGGTTATGCCCAAGTCTTCTCCAGGGTAACTGTCCTGTCCTGTCTGTAATTTTCAGATATTCCATGAGTGTTTTCCAAAAGCTGCAGCCTGAACACTGCTCTGACACTCACTGCTGATACTGGTATTCAGCAGGCTTCCAGTCAAGATTCTGGTTAAGAAGTCTAACCCTTCTATTTCTACATTTTTGTGGAATTTCCTTTTGCTCCATGTGTAAAGACAACCTAACCTGCCCATGAGTGTAAGGCCCTGAGGCAGTGATCTCTAACTTCAAAGCAAAAGACACAAGCAGTTCCGAGGGCCGGACAAATACGAGCAGGACGTGCCCTCAGCGCTAGGAATCCACACCAGAGCTGCAAGTTGGGCCAGATTACCAGTGTAATAAAAGATATGACGTCTTAAGAGTCACATAGCTTGAGTCGCACAGCTGAGACTAGGTCTCTTACTTCTAACTTTGAGAGAAAAGCCCGACAACCCAGAGCAAACCCTCTAGAATAAATTCATATGTCAGCGAGATGCAGCTATGGATACACAGTGGCAGTAACTCGGCCTTGCCAGGAAAAGGGAGGTACTCATTCATCAACCCAACTTTAGTTTAAGATTTTGGATGCAAACACAGCCTTTCTCTAAAATTCTCTTTGCTTCAGTTTTCACTCAGATCTGTACCTTTTTAAGGTAGCAGTCATTGGATTTAGAATGCTGTGTCCGATCTATAGCCTGCATTACTGATCAAGTCCTGTCTTCTCAGTAAAGGCAGGAACAGCAAAAAGGTAGCAGAACTTACTAAAAAAAAAAAAAAAAACCCCCCAAACCAAAAAACCCCCCCCCCCCAAAAAAAAACCCCCAACCCCAAAACAGAAAAGCAAACCACCACAGACAAATCCACACAAGAATACACAGCATACACCTCCACTGTGAGATGATCACTTTTCCCAAGAGTCCTGCAAACAGACCACTCCTTTAGAAGTGCTGATATGCCAACAGTACTACGCTCTATGGACTTCCTTCTTAGGGAGGCTTTCGTGGCTTACTGTAAGAGGTCAAAATACAGTGCTAATTGACAAAGTCCGCTCCTACCATTCCCAGTGATACTGTGCACACCCCATTCACAGGAGAGGAAGAAAACTTACACTAAAATCACGGCAGTGAAAGCCACTGCTAGGGAATCCAGAGCAATCCTAAAATGCAGAAGTGCAACATTACAGCAACCAGCTGCAGCTGCCGTCACTGTGGACGAGCAGAGAGCAGCTTTCCCGCGGCACACACTCAGAGCGCCCGGCGCACTGCAGCTCGCGGCTCCTTGAGCTAGCCTACGCCTTCGTGTCTAACCGCCCCCTCCTCACCTGCAGGCCAGCAGAACTCGTGAGGTCAGGGAAGCTTTTAACATCTACAGCACCAGGACCAACGCCAGCGCTGCTGCCTCAGCTCCTCAAGAAGCCGGTTTTCCCCACGCCTGCCTGTAACAGTTCGCCTGCCGAAGCGGAGAGCGTGCCTCCTCTCCAGCCAGTCCATGTCTTGGGCCACTTCCCATCAGCAAGATCGTACGAAACACCACTACTCAATGCGAACAACAAAAACTGTCATCAGTTGTAACTTCAAAGTTTTAATCAGGAAATCTTTCAAAGATCATCAGAAATTCTGATTGACTTCAATCTAAATCTTATGGTAACATTGAGCAGTTTTTAGGTAATGAAAATTCACTAAACATAAGACAACTTCACTGTAAATTATTAATCCAGCCCTAAGCTGGAGCATTACCCAAGTACAGTCAGCTTCTGAGGACAATAATAATGCTGGAGTTGTGTTTTCTATCAGTGCATTTCTTCAAACAGTCATCACTTTGCCTTCCCAGAATCTCTGATCTCAAATTTTCACCTCCACACTGCCAGCTAGAAGTCCAAAACACCCAGCTAATTTACGTCTGGCACCACAAGTGAACACCTTCAATGCACCCCACCTAAGGCTCTTAGATCGAGGATCTTCTCTTGGCCTCAGCCATTTTGCAGAATTGGAAACTGAAGATACTCGGACAAGCGACCATGTGAACGGCCCCACAGGAATGGACTGCACAAAGATGGGCAGCAAGACTACGCACGCATCTCTATTCACAGCCACGACTACTTTGTCACATATTCCACTTGAGGTATTTTATTTTTCAAGTTAGGCCAACCATGATTTCGCTGGAAGAGACAAGCTCCCTGCTTTTCTTCTCACAGACAGGAAGGCACACCAGCATACACACCCTCACTTGATAGGTACCAAGTCCATTTTAATAACAAAATCATCGACCCAGAAACCATTAAATCCCCCTTCCCAAAGCCAACAGGACGCAGCTCTCTTGGGAACTCAAAATCTGACTTGCGCCCGGAAATGCATCTGCTTTGTAGCATTGTTACTCATTCCTGTCTTGAGCATCCACTTTGACTTCATCCTCTGCAGGTACCGCATATCCCGCTGCTGCGCAGAGAATGCCCCTTCAGGGAGAGAGGAGAAAGAGGGATAAATGTCTGTAAGATTACTCACTGCTTACATGCAAACCAGCTAATCTGTCCCTGTAAATCAGCACTTCGCTGCATGTTTTCCTTCCCATACTGGCACACCGCTTTCTCTTGGGAAAGGCCAGTTCCCTCTATGAACACCCATGACTGTGATTAAGGGAAAAGGCTGTTTTGCATTCCAGTGTGCAATTCTCTTATTTCAAAAGTGGATATAGATCACGTCACTGCTTCCCAACTGAAAAAGCATTCCAACTGTCAAGGAGTGATTTATGTCACATTATTAAATAGCAAGAGTAGTGGTTTTGACAGGCAGAGAAAGGATTATTACTCTAGAAACCCACAAATCTTAGGAAGTCACCAAGTATCACAAACAGGCATGCTAATGAACTGAAGGGCTTGCACAGAAGCTGCAATGGATTTCAGACACAAACAACCTCCGATAACTTTTTCTGCTTGGATGTCAGGAATGAAGGGGAACTGAGCGGGAGACAAGTCACTGCACAAAACCCCACAAACGCGAAACAAACTCGACCTGTGTAAGTGTGGAGTGATGACATCCTAGAAACTCCACCTCTGCCCAACCCTCAACATTGCCACTTACCTGTCTGACTTGTCCAGCCCAGAGCTCTGTACTGCTGCAACACCCGACCCACTGCTTTCTTGTTTTTCGCCACAGCCACCGTTCTTGACAGACCAAACCGTTGCTTGTAGTATCTCATCAAAGAACGATGACCCACTCTTGCACCTGTTCAGAGGAGGGGACATCTTACATGCATAATGAAGCAGCTTCTGAAATGCAGTAGTCAAGCATATTGTGAAAACTGTGGGAAATCCCTATGCTGAGGCGTGCTTTTAAAAGGCCAAGAACTTTAAAAACTTCAGGACTGTTACAAACTCAGCGTAATTCCTGTAAGAGCTGCTGTACTGCACCCTACTTTGAGGAAAGAAAAAAAACCCACCCAAACCAAAGACTGCTGCTGTTCAAGAGGGCCTTCGCTTAGATAAAAAACAGGTAGTTATCAGAAAAGAAAAATTTAATTAGGGGAATGAGCAGAGAGGCAATGCTGTTTCAAGTAACCAGGGAAGTAACTTGCTGACATTCAGGAAATCTTCAGTAACTGCACAGTTGGCAGCACTTTTCAGAACGAAAGGGCTGAGGTCCCCCCATACAAAAACCATCAAAACAAAACAAGAAAAAAATATGCAAGCAAGACTGCCAAATGCTATACAAGGAAAGAGTAAGGCTGCTTGAATAAACTCATTTTACTGAATTAGTTTACTAAATTAGCTACCAGCTGCCTCCCTGCAAAAAAACTACACCAGATAACCTAAGCTATAGCCTCTCCAAGTTGCATGAAAATAAGATATGGCATCTCCTGGAGTACAGCATACGAGTCACGTGTTAATGAAGAGGTAAAGTGGGCAAAGGAACTCCCTGCTCCAGTCCACATAGACATTAATGCTGAAGAAGTAGAACTACTTGGTAGTGAAAATAATGGAAGGCGAGGACAAAATCCCAAAGACACTTAGACGTGAAATTCTCCCTCACCAAAGGAAAACGCTTACTGCGATGACCTACGCTGCAGGTAAGGGCTGCAGCTATGAGAAATGCAGAGAAAGTACGTCCTAACACAAATCCTACACCTACCTGAAGGAAGGATCAGCTCCATGGTGTCATCATCATAATCCAACTCTCTCTCTGCTGGGCGCTCCCCAGGCCCCTCCACATCTTCCCCATCCTTGTGGTCAGGGTAACTGCTCCTGTGGAAGGGTAGGAGTACCTGGTTACACACGGTGAGCAGCCACAGCCATCCAGACCCATTACACAAAAGAACTGCCACGCACAGCTACAGCAAGCCAAAAACATTGCCACGTTTCACCTGTCTTGGTTCGAGAGCTCTTCCCAGCAGCTCCCTGCCCTGAACAGAGGCTGAAGACAAGGACCACCCTTCCTCCAGCCGGTTCTGTAACCCGGCACGGTTCTGCTGCTGCACACCTGCCAGCGACTTATGGTGAACAGCCACCGCCATGTAGCCCACCAGCTCTGCAGAGCCACTCAATGAGCGCTCCAAGAAGCTCCACTAAACCCACCTGTCACCATAATAGGAGGTATTTCTGACCAAAATGAACACAGCTTAGGATAAGTTACAGGAAGTTCAACAAGAGGCCTCTGAACCACAGCGGTTCTGTAACTTCAGCTATTTAAAAAAAAAATTTAAAAATAATTCACAGTAAGCATTAAGCCCACAATCTGCCTAAAACGTAATGGAAGAGACAGTTACGTCCTTTTATGATCTTTGCTGGTGCACTGAAATCTAAACTCTGTAACAGCAAACACACATAACAGAATTCAAAATATATTTTCATGTAGGACTGCTATTAGTGGTCACAGGACGGAAGATCCAATCATGTTCTCATGCTTGCCTAGAACAACGGTGAACCACCTATGCAAAATAAGCATTAGAACGAGAAACAGGCCTAAATTTTAAGAATGAATAATAGTTTCTAACGTAACGTTCAAGTGTCCTTTTGTCTGTCCCCATCTGTGCTCCACTCAAAGAAAAGCGTCCTCACCTAAAATCATAGAAGTCTGCAAATTCCAGGGCAGCATCTCCATCTGTGAAGAGTTTGCAGTGGCTTTTGTCATTCATGTGAGCCTGTACGGCTTCTGTCGAGTAGAAGGATTTCCCCTTCTCATTGCACCAGATGCAGATTTTCCCAACACCAACCTTCTCTCCTGCAGAAGACATTGACACTTCTGTTGGTCTGAATGGAGCCTCCCTAGTCAATAATTAACATTTCTGTGATGTAGGCTGCCCAGCTTGCAGGCACAGAGACCGAGCAAGAGCCGTGAGCCCTTCATTTCCAGAAACGCCCTGCTGTTCCTGCGCCTTGACCACGTGGCTCCATCAGGGACAAGTCTGTGCATTTAAAGATTTCAGAGGACAAGGTACCGATCATTCTGTATTCTCAGTAACAAATTTCATACTTCCAATACAGTTTTCTATCTGATGCTCCACAATTATTTTATTCTCCTCATCGTTTGTAGACTTCAAGGAAGATACATTTCTCCTAGCTTTTAGCTCTCTCACGAGTACCGTAAACTGATGAGGCAAGTACTTGCAACTCGTTAGTAGGATAACACAGTCCATATGCACACTTTCGCAACAGAGTTTTGTCCTGAATTTCACATAGCTGGGCAACTTCCTCAACATTAGAAAACTACGTGAGACCTAGAGGGTACACGACGACGTGTTTGCTCAATGGGGTTTTCTCTCACTCTCCCCAGAAAGCCTGTGGTCCTGTTCACGATCACAATACTGAACTAGACAGCACTGAGATTTTATACAAAAAAAAAAAACAAATCCAAAACATTTTTAGTTATACCCAAGTGAAAATAAGCTATAACAGTATATAATTATCCTGATCAAAAAAACAGAGAACATTTACCCAGGTACTTGATTAGTCCTCTGAGATCCACAAGGTACTCTATGTCTGGAATGAAGAAACTGTGAGCTTTTGTCATATGGGCCACATTTTTCGTCAGAGATCTTGAATGGTGGGGACAGAACAAGCAGTCCGTGACTGGTATGGCCCCAACAGCTGGAGTGCTTTCACCTTCTGCCTGCTCCTCCTCCTTCTCCTCTTCTCCCACACTTTCCATCTCTTCTTCAGAGCCAAGGTCTTCATCAGAATCCATATCTTCCCAGTCTTTTAACGGAAGTTTAAAAAAAACTAAATTATTTACATGATTACATCCCAAGGAAAACAAGCCATAATTAAGTTAGAAAAAGTTAGAATAGAAAATCTTGCATTTTCTGTTCTTACAGTGAAGCGTCACACAGTCACTTCCAGGTGCAAGAATATACCATTGCCAGTAAAACATATTTCTCTGTAACATGCACAGCAGAGCTCAAGTCTGCTCGTAAAACAGTTGGCAGATCTGATACTTTTTTCCCCTCCATTTTCTCAACTATTAACACTTCATTGCCGTTTCAAAGCCTTGAATTTAATTCACCACAGCACAAGAACATATGCACAGCCCATTAAAAACAATACAACTCTGTCGGAATCATGAAAATACACATTTCCAGCTGCGAGGGAAAACACACACCTGTTCACACACATCTTTAATAGGTAAGAACAAAGCCAGCTGTCAGATATACTACGTTACATTACACATTAGTACATACCAAGACATAGTAACAATATTACACATTTGCAAGATTACTGCAGAGCTCACTAACCTACAGAGGAGCCAACGATCTGATTATAGTGCCAGAAGGACCTAGAAATCTGTTTTCAGGTGTTCAGATCTGGGGCAGGACTATATTCCCACCGGTGCCAAGCGCAGAGAGCGTTTGAGCGCAGGGATGCACGGAGCTCCCTAGCGTTGTAGGCTACTGATTAGAGATCTGTGCTACAGGATACAGTTTAACAATTTTAAAAGCCTGACACTGAATTAACAGGACTGGTAGGAAACATTCCTGGACTAACGCTTAAAAGGAAAATCAGCATCCAGAAGCCTATCAAGACTTTAGCCTTACAGTTTATGACTAACACAGTACTACAAAGCAGGCGGAAGGCGGCTCCTTCTTCAGACGTCAGGACGCATGCCCAGAGGCACACGTTTCTTCTCCTGCAGAACAGATTCCCTGAACTGCAACTGACATTTCACCCACACGAGACTGCTGTAACAGATGTCACAACGCCACACGACTGTTTCAGTGACGCAGCTGGCATGTCACGGTCCCCCGTCACTCACGCCTGTCCCCTGGCTGCAGTGTAATCGCCCCATTCAGCCGCTCCAGTGGCGGCATTTGGACCCGCACTGCGAACCGCAGCACTGAAAGCATCCGGGTTAAAAACAACCCTTTCCTGGAATTCTGAAGCTCTCATCTTTCCAGCTGTCCACTTTCCAGGCCGACCTCCAGCGAAGAGCTGTACCCACACAGGCGGTGAGGGTGGAGCGGCAGGAACTGGCCAGCCGGGGTGGCAACTCTTACACCGGTTTTAACAGAGACACCAACACGCTGTGAAGCTATGCCACGCAGCGTCAGGCTAAGGAGCAAACTTTCTCCTCTGGCCTTCATGGGCAGAGCAAAACAAACCCAACCCCACTCCCACCTCCCTTCAACGCATCGTTGAAGCGACTGATGGGACAACAGCAAATGGTCACGACTGGATTTTTGTTCATTTGTTTTTCAGAAGTAGTTTTAAGGTAAACTTTTATGTCAGCCCTCCTTAAAGGAAACGTCCCCGGGAACTTTGTGGGAAATGGCGCTCGTATCAGTAACTGTTTATATTCAGCCTTCACACACTCTAGTACCTTGCGCAGCTGGCAGTTCAGGCACTGACACAGAGTCCCCGACTGCAAGCACAGGCCAACCTTAACTCCTTTGCTAAGCTGAAAATTTAATCAACAGGAAGACCTTTTGTGATGGAAAATGCTGTACGACTACAGAAACAGAAGGAGGCTTCTACACAAAACCAACAACAACACAGCTTACCCCAAGCTCTCTGTCGTCAGTATGTTTACTGTCTTACCTTCTTCCGTATCCTCCTCTTCCTCTGCTTGCTGTTTGGCCAGCTTCTTTGCTTGCTGTTCAAACCACTGCAGCCGTGGAGGTTTTTCCAATCGCTCTCTGCTCCGGGATAAGCTGGCACTTCCTGTGGAAAGGGGAGAGCTACCTGCATTACCGGGAGGTAAAGGCGTCTTCTTCGGAGAGGAAGATGGCTGAGCCCTGATGGCTTGCTGAATAGCCGTGTTCATTTCATCTTTGTCTACACTCTCCAGGCCCAGCCCCTTTTCCAGGTTCTTTTCATTTAATGTTTCCACCTTCTTGCTGACAGCTTGAACAGCTTTCTTCTCCAACTCCAGGTGCTTCTTGGACTTCAGGTGATTCTCGTAGGCATTGAAGGTGGAGAACCTCTTGCTGCAAACTGCGCAGTACGTGGCAGTGACTTTGTTCTGCTCCTCTGCCACCGCCCTCTGCGCTAGGACTCTCTCTTGGAAATTCTCGGCGGTGACAGGGGGCATGTCGGCGACCTTGCGCTTCAGATTGTACCGATGCCAGTCCGTCTTGTAGTGGGCACGCTGAATGTCAGCATCCTTGAAAGCCACGCGGCAAGTGATACAAGTGTAGGTTGCCATTACTAGGAAGGGGAGGGAATCATGTTAATAAATAGCAACTATGAAAAAAATCCAAACCCAACATCCTGACAGCACAAGAGCGGCATGGAACCGAGGGGACCCAGAACGCCAAACCTTTATACCTGGCCGATGAGGTGGGCACGCTGAATGTCAGCATCCTTGAAAGCCACGCGGCAAGTGATACAAGTGTAGGTTGCCATTACTAGGAAGGGGAGGGAATCATGTTAATAAATAGCAACTATGAAAAAAATCCAAACCCAACATCCTGACAGCACAAGAGCGGCATGGAACCGAGGGGACCCAGAACGCCAAACCTTTATACCTGGCCGATGAGCGGAGAAATGACGCCTCCCGGTTCCGCAACGGAACCAGCGGCTGCAG